ATAAGCCACGCCCCTTCATGGGTGTCATTGACAAGACTGCACGTTTCCAGCAGCAGCTGCAGCTGCAAGGGCACCATGGCAACCTGGTGTCCAGTTACGGCTGGCAGGGACTTGTGCCAGAAGGCCTCGTAGGTCACAACGTAAGTGTTGTCATGAACACGCACTCGCAAGGACTGACTAGTGACCTCCAATACGCTAAAATGAGCGCGTATCAGGAGCCCATCCATAACAGCACTCATACGCCCGAGTTTCATCCTGGACACGGATACAAGGACTGTAACCCCCTCCAGCAGCACTACAACGACACCAAGCACAAGCAGGCCAGCCTGGCCCGGGACAACCCCATCCTGATCAGCTCCATCAAACCCAAACGCTCCTTTATCGAGTCCAACGTGTAGCTACAAACTCATACTTTATGTTGAGCACAAATTATTCACAATCTTACGACTTTAATATAGGGGGCTCGGTTTTCATCAACAAACTCAATGTCATTTGAGTCCGTTTTGAAGACTAAATTCAAAGCATTTTTGTGTGAGTGCTCCAGGTAAGCGCACACGAGTAAAAGATTGCCTTGCATTTCCGTTTACAACTACAGCTTCAGAGGTATTTAAGCACATGTTTGAATGCGCAACGCTGCGTCCGCACATTAAAAGAGAACAGAGCTATAATACAGATGATGTGTTGATGTATTAAGATACCTGGCCTGACTTTAGACTTCAGTAAGGACATAGGACGTCGTCTACCCAGATGAAACACTGTCTTTTACAGTTGGATCGTGGACCAGTACTATGTGTATTCAAAAGCATTTCAACGTTTGAATGGTGATGAGTCTGTTTGTGTGTGTGTGTGTATTTCTTTTGGGAAATCTGTTGTATTTCTTCATAAATTACTCACTGTTTTGACTGATTTATTTATGGCTTGGTTGTCTGATTAAAACAATATTATATTTTATATATTAGTTATTTTTGCACAGCTATATATTATGAAATACAACTATGATTGTGAGATTGACATGAACTGTATAAAGGACACCAGGTTTACATGCATGTTATGGTGAACCATATTCAGGTGTCTATGAGGACAGATGTTATTTCATATGTACATTATTTGCAATTAATTTTATGTATAGGGCTGTTATGAATTGTATTTGAATATTTCAGCATCATATACAATAAACCCCAGTTTAAGACTTTTGTTATTTTAGTGTATTACATTTCTCTTTTATTTTGTAAAGTCCTAAAGAATCAGGCCTACTGAACAATCTTAAAGATGCTTTAAGTTGGTTGCTAATTTACAAAGTTTTTACTCATTAGGTAAGTTTTGCAAAGAGTCATCTGAATAGTGCACTCATTTACATGAGGTGATGATTGTACTCATAGTAGTTTTCTAAAGGGTTTTAATCGTGTGCGGCCAACGTATTTTGGTATGTTGAAATGACGTGACCTACTGTATGTTCAGACTGCTAGCAAAAATGTGATTTTTTTTTAGATTTTTTTAGCATATCTTGATTTTTTTGATTTTTTTAAGGTCTGGACAACATGAAATCTGATTATTATTATTATTATTTTTTTCAAATCTGATTCAAACCACATTTGATTGAAATGCGATTCTAATCAGATTTTTACAGATGTGTTTCAGTCTGGACACTTTGGCTGCTCAAATCGGATTTCAAATTGTCTTTTGCATCACTCTAAATGTGACACAAGATAACGTCAAACCTGGTGACGGAAATACCGGAAATATTCATACGGTATTCACCCGGTGGGTTCTTCTCGAACGGAAGGCTGCATCATAGAGAGGCTGTTTCCTTCATTAGATTCCTCCTCAGCATTAAAAGGCACAATGAGACGGTCTAGTAAGTGTACATGTCTACGCCACACGTTTCCACTCTCGCGGTCACGTCACGAAAATACTAGTTAAACTTAATGTTGAAAAAATACTTTGAAAGGCAGAAAATTTGTAATGCAATACAGTGAATGACAGCCGTCTGCGGTTTAATGTAAGCCGTCTTACATTATTGGCAGTTTCATGTCTGAAAACATTCTTAAAGGAGAACTCAGGTGTTCTGACGATTTGTGCTGCCTTGTCGAAAAATGCTACCGTAGTGCGAATCGATCACAGAATGTCGATTAATATTATATGAAATACAATTATAATACAATTCTAAGTTATGAGTAGCTACTGTATACTGTAGACTACTGTTTTTATTTTTTAAACGGTGTGAAAAGTAGAAATTATCATCAAATATTGACTTGTCAAAGCACACCTTTCCTTAGTAACTGAAACTTTCAATTATTCTTGTTCAGCTGGCTGACCGTACAAATATTCATATGGTAGTTATCATTTTTTAAAGGGAAATTACTTTATAACACATTAAAATTTACCTTTTGTTAAAAAAAAACTGAGTCTGCACATGCGCATAACCAGTAAGTAGCAAATCTCGATGGGTAGCATGAATCGTCAGAACACCGGTGTTCTGACGATTTGTGCTGCCTTGTCGAAAAATGCTACCGTAACGCGAATCGATCACAGAATGTCGATTAATATTATATGAAATACAATTATAATACAATTCTAAGTTATGAGTAGCTACTGTATACTGTAGACTACTGTTTTTATTTTTAAAACGGTGTGAAAATTAAAAATTATCATCAAATATTCATCTTTGACTTGTCAAAGCACACTTTTCCTTAGTAACTGAAACTTTCAGTTATTATTGTTCAGCTGGCTGACCGTACACATATTCATATGCTAGTTAGCATTTTTAAAGGGAAATTACAATATAACACATGAAAATGTACCTTTTGTTAAAAAAAACTGTGCGTCTGCACATGCGCATAACCATTAAGTAGCAAATCTCGGTGGGTAGCATGAATCGTCAGAACACCGGCGCAAAATGAACCTTTGGTCTAATAAAACATTGGTAACTAGTCAACCGTTCTCTGAGATCTGTTTTCATGATAATCGAATGTAAAGAGTTTTATCTCTAAAAACTGTTTAGCGTATAACGCTAGTAATGGGGGCATCTATTAAGTAAAAAGAAATCGCTAGTTAAAGGAGAACTCCGGTCAATTTTAACATTGAGCTCAGCAACGCGTCCTTCAGCAACGTTTGATGATGTGGCAGCTGAGATATGCAGGCTTTGTAGGATGCAGCCTTCAGTTTGAAAAGCACCCGTTATGTCCAAAGATTTCGGCCGTGACTATTTTTCTTGTGCAACTTAGGAGTTCTGCACCGTGACTCGACAGGGCGCTTATTTGGAGAGTGAGATGATGCACCTTTATTTTTCCTGCATCCGTTTTGAAAGCCTTGTTACATATGTGGGTACGCCTTTGTCATTTACAAAGCAACCCATGCAGAAAGGTTGGTTATGTCTGGACCGGACACACAAATCTTATTTGATCACTTGCTATTAATAGTGCGGATAGTCTGCCTGATCTGGAAAGATCTGATTTGAGAAAAATTTGCCTGCAGTCTGAAAACAGCCTAAAGGTCTGAGAGAATCCTCACGCTCATTGGCTGCCGCCTCTGGGGTAGTATGGATGGCATATAGTGTCGTTTGATGATGCGAAGAGTGAAAATTGGACAATGAAACGCACTTATTATTGTGCTTTCCCAAAGACAATGGGAGAATCAGTAGGTACCTCAACGTCCGTAGAATCAGAAAAGGTCTGAAGACAGAAAGACATAAAAAATTAGCATAAAAATATACACATACACAAAAAGGTGGAAAGATTTGATGATGGAGAAAAACCTTAGTAATGATGCTTACTTGTTGGACAAAGGTAAAGGAATGAATTATTGTGTTAGACTCTCTAACAGTGTAATTTACAGTAAAAAACCTCAGACGATCGTGTTGATCCACGTTGATAAATGGCAGTGCAGTAGAAAGAAAAGTGACGTTAACCGAACGTTTACACCAAGAACGAAAACTATAAAGAGAACTAAGGGTCCACACCAGCGGACGATATCGTTCTGTTTATTCTATTCTTTAATACTAAGGTTAGAGATTTGTTTGAAACTCCTGTGAATCATGCTTCCCTAAGCAATCATCATTAATCAATATTAAAATGAATCTCAAGCCAAAAGTCTGTTGTTCAACAGGTTGATTTTACTGCTGCACGTTCATCAGACAGGTCTCTTAACAGTGCTCTTATATACAGTAATATACATATGGTTACATCGTAAAGCCATGAACTCCAGTCACTCAACGGGTACAAGCATCCACTAATAAATCCATAGCCTACCTGATTTTAAGTATGTGAACTATTTTATACAAGCAACATTATACCCTTTAAATGATTAATAGCTCATCTCAAAAATCATTTTAAGAAATAAGACTAAATCAACTGGAGAATTTCACCTGTATTCAAACATGAGTCATGATGGGAGATAGGAAAGGAATCATGATAATGTGCTACAATCGCTATAATTACGCCAGCAATCTGTGCGCTACTGCACAGAAAGGGGATGATAAACATTTATTATGATGTTTAAGGCCACTCAACACTGCAGTGTTATGATGGAGAATCATTTAGGAGTTTTAGCCTGATCATGAACCACTTACTCTTCAATCTGCACGTGACAACTACCATCACTTTGCTGATGGATGACGGCATGAACCTCCCATCATTGCCTAGTCTAGCCTGAAAACTAAGTTTTTTAATGCTATTTGACATTTATGGGAAGGTTTATGTTAGATTTTGTTGCTGATTTTAAATATGTTATGTAATTGTGAGTTCGCCAAGCAGTTTTTGAGATTTAAGAATAGGATTTGGTCTTGGATGCCCGAAATAGCTTCCCAGGAGGCGCTGCAAATATGGCCGCCGAGTGAACACACTTTCCTTGAAAGGGACTTTGGTGTAAACAAACAATGGTTATACTAGCTTAATGCTAATTCTAGTACTCATCTGAACCCGGTGTGGTGACAAATCAAGTCCTCATCGAAATTGGGTCTCTGTTAGGACCCCAAGCGATCCCATTGGCTCAAATTACTTTTAATAGGTACTCTCTTTAGCCCCTGATTACAATTCTAACAAAATAATGTTATGATAAAGCTGTTTGAACTACATTATAATGACTAATGTCTGTATTAGTTTGCTTATGTACCAGCATAGCATACAAAAACCCGATTATTAGCCTGGTATCTTAGTTTATGCATTCATTTGCACTTAACCTACATGTATTCACACACAGTGAAGTCTCACTCGCCTGACTTGATCTAGGGTCAGTATTATCAGAGCTCACTGACAAGTGGTCCATCGGAAAATGGCCATTTTCAGAGTGCGGTTGGGTGTCAGCAGGGTGGTCTGCAGGGGCAGGTTGGTCATAGGACTGGTACGGCTCTTCGTGCTGATCCAGCTTTCAATGGCCTCCCGTTCATATGAGTAGCCATCTGCAGGCAGAAAACAACCACAAAACGCTTAAACTCAAAACTAAATCTCCATCAAGCAGGTTAACACCTCTCAGACGCTCACCAGCAGCGATCACTGGGTCCTTCATGATCTCACGTGTGATTGGACAGAGGTACTCGTCGGGAGTGCCGTTAGAGACGGGTGCCATCTTCAAATCCTCGATCTTCTTCATGACTTTACTCCGCAGGCCCAGAGACTCTGAGAGAGCACAAGAACACTTCAACACATCCAATCACAGACAAGTGTGACGCTCAAGTACCCGTATCAATCCATCTGTGCTAACAGAACAGCGGTCTCCAATCCCAGTAGTGTCCCACTCTTCCTGTAAATGCTGGGAATAAATGTAGACATAATGTGCGGCACAGACAATATTATTGAATGTAAGAAAGCAAGGGAGGCAGTGCCAAAAAAAAATAAAAAAAATACTGTCCACCTCTTTTGCCTCACTTGAGCTCAGTGAATTGAGCACCTAAAGTGTAGCAAGAATGTATTGGTAATTACAAAATATAATATACAGATGAAAAGCAAGTGCCCTTATGATAACAAGGCAAGTGCCCCGCAAATCAACTTTAATGGAATTAAAAACTTCATACTGAAGTCCTCTGGTTTCATTTTACAGTTGATAATTGAGGTGCAAGATGGCACCAGCTGCATATGAATAAATGAGAGAGAGCATATGTCATTTTTTTAATTATTTATATATAATATGTTAATGCTTTGGCAACATTGTGATACACAGTCATGTTAATAAAGCTCATTTGAAATTGAAAAATTGAAATTGAGCACGCTTCTGTGGTGAGATACAAGAGACATGAAAGAAGCGACGGCCTCAAACACCCGGTTGAGCAGTCATTATACAGCGTTGCTATTGACGATGGTCATTATCGGGGAATAACTGACCTTAGAATGTCGTGACTGACCAATCTGAATCAAGCATTTCAGAGAGCTCACCCCCCCAACCCCCGATCTGGACTGGATCTACTCCATCTATGTTTTGATCATCGTTCTGAATCCGATCCGGACGTAGTCTTTGACAAAAACGTGATTTTCTCAGCTTTTTGTTCAAATTTTTTTTTTTTATGGGAAAAAAGGATGCATAAAGCTAGAATAAAAATTGTGTTCTTGTTTAAAAGCAGAGACTCTGTTCTTTCTTTTGATATACTGTATGTTCAGATATTCATCCAACAAAATATTATGTCTGGCAACTTTTTTTTTAAAGAACACTGGTGGGGAAGGAGTTACCAGTAAACAACTCAACCACTGGGACATCACAAAATTCTGTAACGTGAATAAAAATTAACTTCAAAATAAATGATGAATGACACTAAATTCTGATCCGTGCGTTATGTGGTTTTTAACTAACACAAAAGTTGGGCATTTTCCAAATAGATGTATAAAACAATTTAATAATAAATGTAAAAATCACACTATAACTTTATTTAGTTAAAAGAATGATTAAATGCCAGTTTCCATGGTCAGTTGCTGTTTCCCGTCGCCCTATATGTGCATATCATAAGAGACTATTTATATAGAGACATGCCACTTAGGAAAACTCGTAATGCCAAAGATGGCGGTTGTATGCACACACATGTCCCGCCCCTCCCGCTGGAAAGCCAATCGTCTGCTTTTTAACAGTCAAGCCGGGAAACATTTAAGCCTATCGTCTGGTTCCACTGACGCATGCGCACAGTTGAGGTTTGCGACCGCGCAAAATACGTTACTGTTTGAAAAGGCGGCAGATTTGATATGCAGTGTATGTGTGAGTTGTGTAATATCAGACATCAGAAGTCTTCCGCAGATTGATAGCGGCTCCCTGATGCCCGCAAATTAGTTCAAATCTCCCGGAATCTAGAGCGAGCGAGCAAGAGCTCGCACATACTGTGCTTCAAACTGTGTAGCGCGCGCACGACAGAGGGAGAGAATCCTTGCGCATGCCCGGAGGCGTTGCCAAGATGGCGGTCGAGTGGCATGACTTGCCTAAAAGGACTTTGATATCATACACTTGTCAAAAACGTTTAAATGTGATTAGTCTGTTTCTGTTAGTTCTGTCAACAATGTTATCTTTGCGACGCAAGGTTTTAAAACTTGTAATAGTGATTTGCGTGTTTGTGGAGTTGAGGAATTTGAAAATGGCGAAGCAAAGATCAATCAGTTGATACTTTAAAAAGCCTAAATTGGATATCCCAATTGTTCTGCACCAAGAAACCAAGTCTAGCAATGAATCCAGGTGATTCCTTTAACACAAACTGACACTTGATTATGAGTTGATCTCTGGTTTTAACCAGAAGTTCCGTCGTCTCAGACTAATATTGCAGGAGGACATGTAAAGGTAAGTACAAACATTTTCTCAATGTTATAGTTAAAAAATTTTATATAATGTTTTGACATACTTGTTAGAAAACTAGAAAGAGCCATTTTATGATTTGTTTAATAAGTCATGGCAACATATGTTTTTACATTACTTTAACTCATAAATATAATTTAAAGGCAGGGTGATTTTTTCCCCCCAAAACATTTGTTATGCTGGTTGAAAGTCTCTTCACATCCTGATAGCAATCACTAAGTTAAATGGTCTAAATGTATTTTATATGTACCTTTATGTATATATATTTATATATACACTACCGTTCAAAAGTTTGGGGTCAGTGAGAATTTTATTTTTATTTTTTGGAGGAAAGAAATCAATACTTTTATTTATCAAGGAATAATTAATTTGATCGAAAGTGACAGTAAAGACATTTATAATGTTACAAAAGTCTTTTGAACTTCCTATTCATCAAAGAATCCTAAAAAAAAAAAAAAACTGTACAACTGACAGACCAACAACTGTTTCAACATTGATAATAATAATAAATGTTTCTTGAGCATCAAATCCTCATATTATACTGATTTGTGAAGGATCATTTGACACTGAAGACACTGGTGATGCTGAAAATTCAGCTTTGATCACAGGAATAAATTACACTTTACTATATATTCACACAGAAAACAGCTGATTTACACTGGAATAATATTTAATACTATAACTGATTTTTGTTGTATTTTTAATCAAATAAGCGCAGCCATGGTTAGCAGAAGAGAATTCTTTTAAAAGTATTTAAAATCGTACCGACCCCAAACTTTTGAACGGTAGTGTATATAGTCAGTGGAAGATGTTAAATGCAATGTTAGAGTAAAATGTTCATCCAATCATTGCATTCGGTCAATATTCCGCGTTCACGCCATAACTACTGTAATTTGGAAGAGATGGAAACCTGTGACTTTATACTCGGAGCATTCGTGACTCGCATTTCTGCATTTTTCAATGGCAACACTATCAACGCCGAAATAAATCTGCAGCAGTCAGGTCTCGTCTCGTGCCGCTTTGCAAACTCTGCTGTGTGCGTTCATGTGTTTTGAAGGAGACGTGGCTTTGGAGCCGCTCTGAAGGGAGGGTGGGCTTTCATGCTTTCAAAGATAACTTGCTATTGCTAGCCGCTCCAAAAAATTGCCTACCCTACCTTTAAGCAATTTCAACTTTCTTTTATAAGTTATACGAGATTCAACTTGATTTTAAGTCAGTTTTAATATAATTTAAGTTGAAATACAGCTAATGTCATTCTACTTAATTTGAAGCAGCAACAGAACTTAAAGGAGAACTCCGGCGCAAAATGAACCTTTGGTCTAATTACACATTGTTACCTAGTCAACCGTTATCTGAGATTTGTTTTCATGATTATCGAATGTAAATAGTTTTATCTCTAAAAACAGTTTAGCCTATAAAGCTTGTATAACGCTAGTATATTGGGCATAGTGTAATGACAAATAAAAATCGCTTGTTAATACCACTAACAAGGCTGAAAATAGCCCCACACTAACACGGTAGCATAATGAGGGTCCCTACCTTCAAACCGAAGCATTGAGAACTTTGTCAGTGTCCAGACAGTTTAATAAGAAGATATTTTAAACATACAGTCAACTTCGCATATACAGGCAGGAGCCATCTTTGAAATACAGCCTTTACCAGTCGATCTACGAACGCCGATCCAAGTGTTCGCTGGTGAGAATGTGAAGGAGCTATAAGTTGTGATAAGGTGAGCGCGAACAGCAGGCTTGGATCGGCGTTCGTAGATCGACTGGTAAAGGCTGTATTTCAAAGATGGCTTATGCCTGTATACGCGAAGTTGACTGTATGTTTAAAATATCTTCTTATTAAACTGTCTGGACACTGACAAAGTTCTCAATGCTTCGGTTTGAAGGTAGGGACCCTCATTATGCTACCGTGTTAGTGTGGGGCTATTTTCAGCCTTGTTAGTGGTATTAACAAGCGATTTTTATTTGTCATTACACTATGCCCAATATACTAGCGTTATACTAGCTTTATAGGCTAAACTGTTTGTAGAGATAAAACTATTTACATTTGATAATCATGAAAACAAATCTCAGATAACGGTTGACTAGGTAACAATGTGTAATTAGACCAAAGGTTCATTTTGCGCCGGAGTTCTCCTTTAAGTTGAAACAAGTGACATTTTTTACAGTGTAGTTTTTATAGGTTGTCGCTTTGAAACTTTGAACTTAAAACTGCTGCGTTTCATTTTTTTCTTGGTAATTTTTCATACTCTAACCTCTTTTATGAAGGCTCACCCCTTGAACATTTCTGGCACTTTGCCTTCTCATTTCAGCAGCCCACCACACGCCAGGGCTCAAAACTATCTGCATCTGACTATACAGAGGTAACTGGACTGACTCATGTCCATTTCTGCCAATGTACTGCCTTCACAGTGGGCCGCAAAGGAATCAAGTCTGTTCAAATGTCATGCTAAATGAAATGGGGTGATTTTACGGTCACAGCGAGCTGGACATCGATTTATTTATTTTTTTACTTTTTTTTTCAGAAGTGCACATTAGGATGGGATTTCTTATGTAAATAGCTGCTGGTTTTAGGACCAAAGTGGAACTAATCAGCTTTAATGCACACAAACTCTTTTCTGGACACAACACGGGCAAGTGCTTTACATAACTCAACAAATCCCATGTTTACATTCCCCACAATCTCTAGGATTAGCTCTTATGTTGGCCACTTTTTCCATGATTTTTCCTTAAAAAAAAAAAACATGACCCAATCAAGATTTCCTGTTAGGTAATATATAAGGGACATGGTGAAATCCACGTTATTTTTATATAACTCCTCATGACATCAGCTGAGGTAACACTTAAAGGTCATTCCTGCAGTATTATTGACGTAAAGTCCAATCTAAATTGTGTACATCCAGAGTCTAAAGCAAGGTATGACACAAATACCAATATTGAGTAATGCGTGCTGTCATTTTACCAATGTGCAGCTCAGAGCTGAGGGTTTCCTTGGTGAGAGAGAGCAGCTCCTCTCCATCGATGTTATTGGATTTAAACACGTCGATCGCGGCCTCCAGCCCCTCCTCACGTAACCATGCCAACACATCTTCCTCAGACCACTCGCTCACCATCAGTCTGGAGTGTCCACATGACTTCCTTCCTGAGAGACAGCAACAGGACACATGTGTTACCTAGGTATGGGTCAATGACATGATCGCATGCTCTTTTCTTTGTCCCGTCTACTAATTTACTAAAAAGTGCAATTCATGTCAGAGCAAAAGCCTTGTGGGAAGCAGTGTGACATATATAATGCAGCTGCGCCTCCGGGTATTACAGTTTGATCCCAGACTTGAGGTTTTGTCTGTCCTGACCCCAATGTTTCCTGACTCATTTACGCTGTCTTGCCTAATAAAAGGCCAAAAATAAAACTTTAAAAAATGAATGCAATTCATACATACAGTACAATGACAGGCAAACACCTCTTCTATGAGGAGTTCATTCTTCATTTCTGAACTAAAATTAATTTTTGATGTTTTTCTGGAAGTTAAAAAGATACAACTGTCCTGATCATTTAATGATGATGATGTGAAAGATTAAAAGAACAATCTTATTTAATAATTTCTCAGAAAAAAACAATATTAACAAACCTATCTTACTGCATATTAATATTTGAACATTTAAAATGAAAATGTAGACTTTTTCTTAATGTTCCTTTTTTTGGTCATGAACATTCTTATACGTATCATCAAAACTAATGATGAAGATCAAGAGTGAATAGTTTATAAGAATGCAGGTCAACTCTTCTCTCGCTGCATCTAATGCATAAATCATGAGGTGGAATGTTCTACACCATGTATCCGCTCAGGATGCAGTCAGATCATTTGCAGTACTTTTGAGTTCCTAGTGCGTGCGAGATGTTATTTTGTTATTCATAATGTAGATCTCATCAGATTTCTTCCACACACAAGCAGTTAAACCAGTCGGAGTATGTAAAGCCCACTAGAGCTCACGGAGTGCACTGTGTGTTTGGACTGAATCTGCAGCTGTGATCCATCACCCCAGAGAAACTTCTGAAGGACGAGAGAGGAATACATCTCCTTCTCTTCCCTGTTTGTGTATTCGGTCTGACACTACACCTCTCCTCTGTCTCTGACTCACAATGAGTAATTATTGAACATGGTAGCAGTATTACATGCAGCTAGCGGTGTTATAACAATAGTGTGAGTGTTTTTTTGTTACATTTTCAACTTTTAGTGTATAATGTTTGCTGTTTGAGCTCTGCAACGTTACAAAGCACAAAGTTCACTCCATAAGGAGTTATTCTCTATATCAGTAAACTGTTTCTGAACTCTCTGAAACCCCGCGATAGTACTTGTCACAATATTCCTCATTTTAATAATTCCTGCCCAAGACATGTGCAAAAAAGGGGCAAGGCTTGGTCGAGTTGAGTAATATTGTGTTGAAACTCGCGGTTATGGTGAGAGGGCGTGACATTTCCGAAACGCTTGAAGCAGATGACCAATCACACCACACTATTACAGTCAACCAATCAGAGCACATTGGGCTTTTTGGAAGGAGGGGCTTCACAGAGAGAAACTAAAGAATGCAGATTGACAGACTGGGAAGAGAGGTGCTGCAACAATACAAAATATGTGAAAAACATTTAAGCAAGAGAACCTAGAACCTAGAACCTAGTCAGGTAAACCCCAAAAATAACCCCAAAAATAAAATCAAGACTTTTGTACAAATGGCATATGGCATAATTTATTATTTGGCAGACACTTGCAGTGATCTATTCAAGGTATACTTTTTTTTTTTATCAGTACAAGTGTTGCTAGAGCAAAGTTTTACCACTTGAGCTTGCAGGTGTAAACAAAATAATTCATAAAAAATATATATATATATATAAATAATGGTCTGGATTTCTCTTACCTTCACTGCTGGAAACTGAAGCAGCTTCATCTGAAATGAGGAACACAAGAACAAGTATAACTGAACAATAACATTTTTAATATAAAATGTCTATATTATGTTATACTGGATTGATCTCTTGAACTTCGTAAGAGGAGTAAACACAAGCTTTAGCAGTGTATCAGAACAATACAAACACTGCTCAGTTTGTATTTTTGTTGTCAAGTGTTTAAGTGTTTATTTTTTGTGCCCTGAAAGCCAGAATGTGCACACTGTCTGCTAGTTACAGACTAAACAAACAATAAAAACTGGTAACACACACTCACCAGGAAAAGATTTGCCTTCAGTTTCAGGAATCACACAGGGGGAAATGACAAGACAGAAAAAGCAAACAATCATCTTGTTGCACAAACAATAATTTTTATCATTCATAAAACAAATACTTTGTAATTTGCACTCTCTGTGTATGGATCATTCCTACTCTGCAGTATTTTCATACCAGCATTATCTCTTTCAATATACTGTATAAAATATGTTTCACATTTTTTATGATGCATCCACCTCAAAATAAAAATTGTCATCATTTCTTGCCCTTATGTCATTCCAAAAGTGTATGACTTTCTTTCTTTTGGCGAACACAAAAGAAGATATTTTGAAGAAATGAGTGACTAAAGAGTTTTGGGTTCTCACTGACTTCTATTGCATGGACAACATTTAAAAAATGTTTTTATTGCATATCAACATATTAGAGCTGCACAATTCTGAATCAATTCAGAATCAAATTTTGTTTGCAATACAGACCACAATTCTCCTACGATTCTGTATGGATAACTAAACAAAATAACAAACTGTTCATTGCTGCAATCTATTTAAAAATATTGAATTCATTTGAATTAATTGTTTGTTTAAAATATAGGTTGAAATGAATGATTCAATAACTCGCTCACGAAGACTTCACTTGTTTCATTTGGGTTTCATTACAGGATGAATCAGCGTTTTTGAATGAATCTTATGAATGAACGATTCAATGATAAATACATTTTATAACAGTCACTTGTCTCCACCTACTGGTGTAGCGACGTAATTGATACAAGAGTCAAGCTGGCATAGAAATACTTCCATAAACGAAAGCATTTGGAGATGGGTTACAGAGTGTATAAAGTACTGTATAACAGGACTGACCCGTATTCATTGTAAATGAACCCACCCTGAGCACTGCTGCCATCCTCTACCTTCCAGATATTAACGCTTTTGTCCATGGAGCCGGTGGCGATGAGAGGGGCCGTGGGGGAAAAGGCACAGGCCGTCACATACCTGCCCAACAGGAAGAGACCGACCGACAGGGTTCAGGGTTCAACAACTTAAACTGAGAGTTTAGACCTCAGAAATCATGACTCAGAACTCACCTGTCATGCTGGTTAAGTGTGTAAAGTAAGATGCCTTGGTTCTGCAAAGTAGACCTCATTGTTATAAATGTTATGCTACAGACATCCAAGTGGGCTGAGCTGTCAGTCATCTTTTATATTTATTGGTTGGACAGAAAATGATGAATATGAATGAGACTCACAGCTTGATACACAGTCACGGTCTTATCCACCGATCTGTGGGAAAAGAGAGAGTGACATTTAAAAGGCATGAGTCAGACGAGCTCTCCATGGCCTTTATGTGCAGTAAAACTGAGCTTGTCTGCCTGCTGACACATAGTGGATGAAAAATCCATTTCATCAGAGATTATTAGCAAACAGACTTCAAGACCAGCGCTCATCTATCATGGTGTTCTTCTCTCTGCTGATGTCTGTGATTACACAGCACCATCCAGTGGAAAACAATGGAACTGCAAGGCAGGATCTATATACATTTAGATTATCTGCATTTATGAATTTGGCAAATTCATTTATGCAGACATGTGTGTTCATCTCTTGAATGCAATGTCCAATCAGAGGTGTTTAAGTCACAATCCATTGACCGCACAAAACGCCTGAGTTTTTTGTTCAGTGATGAGTTCTACCTGTTCTCGCAAATCCTCCCATTAAAGGGTTAGTTCACCCAAAAATGAAAATTCTGTCAGTAATTACTCACCCTCATGTTGTTCCAACCCCGTAAGACTTTCGTTCATCTTCGGAACACAAATTAAGATATTTTTGATGAAATCTGAGAGCTGGATCACTCCTCCATAGGCTTCTTAAAGGGGTGGTTGATTATGATTTCACTTTTCTAACTTTAGTTAGTGTGTAATGTTGCTGTTTGAGCATAAACAACATCTGAAAAGTTACAACGCTCAAAGTTCAAAGCAAAGGAAGATATTTGCTTTTAACGAAATTGCTTTTTAAGGACTACAACAAACGGCTGGAAGGGACTACACCACATTCCTCCAGGGTTAGTGACATCACTAACCCTAGAATTTACATAAACCCCGCCCCCTGAACACAATTTATAGATGATCAAGACAGAATACGAGTCTCTTGAGTCTCCATCTTTATCTGATTCCGGTTTGAACATAAAAGGCTAAAAGTTTTTGAAATTTTCAGTGCATGTGTGTGTGAGGTAAAAGGACACAAGCTTGAAGCTCCGCCCCCTGTGCTGAGAGCAGCAGCTCATTTGCATTTAAAGGGACAGACACAAAAACGGAGCGTTTTTACTCACACCCAAAAAGTGACAATTTTAACATGCTATATAAAAATATCTGTGGGGTGTTTTGAGCTAAAACTTCACATACACACTCTGGGGACATCAGAGATTTATTTTACATCTTTTGAAAAGGGTATTATACCACCCCTTTAAGGGATCGAAACTGGCCGGCTCAAAAGTTATGAAAGACATCGTTAAAATAGTCCGAGTGACTACAGTGGCTCAACCTTAAGTTTATCAAGCGACGAGAATACTTTTTGTGCGCAAAAAACAAACAAAAAGAACGACTTTATCTACTCTGTAAGGCCGTGATATTTCACGTAGTGAAACTACGCAAAGCTTCTAGGTTGTACGTCACGCATCACACACAGTGAGCCTACGTGTGACGTGCAACCTTTGGTGCAACCTAGAAGCTTTGCGTAGTTTCACTACGTGAAATATCACGGCCTTACAGAGTAACGTTAGTTGAATAAAGTCGTTCTTTTTGTTTGTTTTTTGCGCACAAAAAGTATTCTCGTCGCTTGATCAACTTAAGATTGAGCCACTGTAGTCACTCGGACTATTTTAACGATGTCTTTCATAACTTTTGGGCCGGCCAGTTTCGATCCCTTAGAAGCCTATGGAGGAGTGAGACAGCTCTTAGATTTCATCAAAAATATCTTAATTTGTGTTCTGAAGATGAACGAAAGTCTTACGGGGTTGGAACAACATGAGGGTGAGTAATTACTGACAGAATTTTCATTTTTGGGTGAACTATCCCTTTAACAAACAAAGATAGGGTGCAAGTAAGTGAATCATTATGCAGTGTGTAGACAACTTTATTGATTTTAATGTAATGTTGTGAGATGGCGAAGTGAGATGAGTGACAGCTTTTTAATGATTGTAAAGTGAGCGCTCTTTCGAGGTTGTCTATCCATTGAATAACAGTATTGTTTTTCATGCTGCTAAGAGGACCGATGGCCAATACATGCTGCAAAGTTTTGGAAGTGACATCTACATATAAATGCAGGATTCACTCTCGAAATTGAAATTGACAAAATGATAACTAGTCTGGGACAAAAAATATGGCATGTCTTGATACTCGCAATGTTAGTGCAGAATAATAGATTACTAGAAAAATATTCATATCAATATATTTTTTTAATTCCATTCCAATTATTTGTTAAAGTAATGACTAAAATGTCTGTACTGTACGTTGCTATATTTGTTATGGTGGAGCCGTTGCTACACGTCACATCTGCACTTTACTGGAGAACCCGCACTCATTTCACATACTCAGAGATTTGATTCTTAATTGACCATCTCACAGTAAAATTAAAATGTTAAGTTTTAGTTCAAGTAAATGTTTAATTGTTCATCTGACTACTAAAATTAAAATGTGAATTTTTAATAAACTTGTAGCTAAAGTTCAGGTAAATGTTTATTTGTCCATCTAATTAATAAAATAAAAATGTATGACTCTGCAAAAACACAGACAGTGATGCATGTGCAACAACAATAATGTGCATAGTTCTGATCGACTGTCTTAACATAATTGAACTTTTTCTTAATCACCATATAGTTAGTTTCTATTAATATTGAAGGCTATATGCTTAATATGTAGCTCTGTTTTACACATTTTGCATCAGGGGTCCCTGCTCCATGTCTCTATCGCCTAAGGGGTCCTTGCCCTGAAAAATCTTGACCCCTATTCTAACATAAAGTAAGTAACTTTTTTGCTCCGGCATGTATGGTGTGAGAGTGGCATAGGTTAGATGTCACAATGAGCGAGAAAGGTTGACATGGAGCTGCTAAATCTCGATTCTCTAGGCCTAGGGAATCACCCGAGGAGATCACGCCAAACAGAGGAGAGCCTCCAGGCAAAAATAGAACTCGTGATAAAACAAGAATCAACATTGGGTTGGCTTTTCGTAGATGGCGAGAACTGAGAGATTTGAAATGTTGTAAGAGCAAAGCGAAGATGAAGATTTTTTTTTTTTTTAAGGAAGTACCATGTCTATTAATCAGTATAGCTAAAGTAACGTCTTCAGCTAGTCAGCTTGAGATCCTTTCCATCTAAACTGGTAATATCACTTAAGCCAAGTAGTGTTTTATGAACAGTAAACCGTAATCATCCGCACAACCAAAACAATGTTCTTCTGCAAAATGCATGCAGTTTTGTTTTGAACCGCTAGAGGACCGAAAGTTACATAGTGTACCTTTAAATTAAAGGTGATGTTAATTTCTCTTTGTTAATAAAATACTTTTTGTATTGAAGTAAAAAGTGGTTGTGTGTGTGTGTGTGTGTGTTACTGACCCTGACACCAACATCTGTCCATCAGCAGAGTAAGCACAGGACAGAACCGGAGCAGACTGACCCGCCAGAGTGTGAGCGAGCTGCATCTTAATGCCTGTGGATCAACATACATCATTAATCACACACATTCACTAAATACACAGACAGAGAAGGAAGACAAAGCCAGGTATCAGATGTGCTACCTGCAGCAGACAAAAGAGAAACAATCCATATCTTCAACAGACTGTCCTGTCCACATGAGGCCAGATGAAACTGAACACAGCCATCTGTGCCTGGGAAAGACAGACAGAGAGAATTCATCATTTACTTTTATTAACAAGTCATTCATCTTCAGAACATCAAAAGAAATATTAGGAAAGCTATTTTGAAACTATTTAGCAGATTGGCAAAGCTAAGATAGTAAAAACTTAAAGTAATCAAGTTACAGTCTAGTTACCCTTTTGAAAAAGTCGCTAGTATCGTTCAAAAGTTTGGGGTTGGTAAGATTTTTTTTTAATGTATTTGAAAGAAGTCTCTTATGCTCACCAGGGCCACATTTATTTGGTCAAAAATACAGTAAAACAGTGATATTGTGAAATATTATTACAATTTAAAATGACTGTTTTCTATTTTAACACATTTTGAAATGTAATGTATTCCTGTGATCAAAGCTATTTTTGTGGAAATTGTGGGACTGAAATAATTGGTGAATTCTATATTTCAATAAACTAAACTGTACAGTTCACATTTAAATACAAATCTGACAATGAATCTATATTTAGTAGAGTGTGTCTGATTATTTCTTAAGCTCGCTCAGATACAGCAATGTAGTATTTGGTAACTTGTCGTAATAATTCAAATCGAGGAGTCCTACCCTTCATTATCTGAGGAGCAAACTGACAGCAGGAGACCCCGAGGTCATGGGCGTTCTTCTCCGCATGGAGATGGTTCATATCCAGGTCCCACAGTCGCAGGTCACCATATGTGGAGCCGGTGACAAACAGCTGACCGCAGGGAGTGAAAGAGCAGGCCACTATACTGGTGTCAGTCACCGCACCAGTCCTAAACATCACCATACACAAGTGTCAATCAAACAGTTTGGTCTGGGGCAGTGCAAAATAAATATATTGTCTATACCATCATACAAAAAGATAGGGTTGTTCACTAAACAGTGGACATTGGATATCTAGACCAGTAATGGAAAGTTACCAATTATACTAATTGTATAAAATAGTAATTTGCAGTAATTTTTTTTACTACAGACAGAGATACAAAACACAAGTGATGTACCTGCGCAGTGTCCTGGAGGTAAATTCCCACAGTGCGATGGTCCCATCGGACCCTCCTGACACCAGGTAAGATGAATCTGGAGAGAAGGCGCACACCCTCACCGGACTCCGGCCCGGATGCTCCAGGATGGCCTCGATCTCTCCGGTGTCCATCGACCACACCACGGTGGTGGCATCGGTGGAGCAGGAGGCCAGGTATTGACCGCAGGCGCTGAAGCAGCAGCAATGGACTCCGTAGCCGTGCCCGGTCAGCGGGGAGAAGGGCAGCTCGCTGAAGTCTCGGCTGGAGTAAACACACACGCTTTTGTCCGCGGAGCAGGTGGCCAGCAGTGAGCCGGAGAAAGCACAGCAGTTCACATCATCTCGATGACTTTGTAAGGTGCAGATCAGAGACACCATGTTTATGTATTGTTGTCGTGTCCCTTTAAATACACAACAAGAGGAAGTCACTTAATGGACAACACAACATACTGTAACTCACATTTAACCTTTCTAACTCTAAAAGCGAGACACATAATTTAACAAACTTCCTTTTTCCACTTCACCTTTTTATTCAATTGTTTAAACAGACGGGGAAAAACGTGTTTAATAGCTCTGAAGTCACTCCCTGACAATATCCTTCCTAACATTATCAATTATCATGTTTAATAATCTAGTGTTACATTCAAATATATTTTATGTATTTTCATTGCTTATGTTTGTGTTATAATATAAGCGGTGTTTGTAGACGTACCTTCTGCGCACACTTCCTGGTTCTGTCACGTCACTTTCAAACCACGTGGTTTTTGTTTACTGTGGCGCGTTTAGGTTTGTCACTTTATCGGATTAGTTTAAATATATGCATGTACTTTATTTTACGTGGAACCCTTTTCACTTTTTATGAACTTATTTGTACACGTTAATGTATTTTAATTCAATAAAATGCAAATAACTATGTAATTATATATAATAATAACATTTAATTATTATGAATAATATAGCCTAGGAATGCATAATGTTATATTTGTTCTGTTTCTTTGTTCTGTTGAACACAAAAGACGATATTTTGAAGAATGTTGGTAACCAGTTGATGGGCCCCATTGATATCCATAGTCTGAAAAAATATATACTATGAAAGTCAATGGGATCCATCAACTGTCTGGTTACCACTTCTTCAAAATATCTTCTTTTGTGTTCAACAGAACAAAGAAAGTCATACAGGTTTAGAACAACATGAGGGTGAGTAAATAATGACAGAATTTTCATTGTTGTGTGAACTATCCATTTAGGTATATTCGATATCTCATACAACTTATTTTCATGGCAAGATACAAACTGTAAAATTGAGAATATATATATATATATATATATATATAGTTCAGTTTGATACTATTTTTAATTTAAAAATGTTGCTGCCCATTTAAACACTTGAATAAAAATGTTAAATAAAATGTATATTGCATTAATATTTTTAAATGATTTTAAAAATCCATTGATTGATGCATTTTTGATAGTATTTATTTTGCTTCCCATTTCCATTGAAATAAAATGGTGAATAAAGGTTATTGCATTCCTATTTTAAAATACTAAAATCCTGACCAGTAAATGAGACCATTGTCCATGGAAAATTGAATAAAACAACACTAGACACTGCCTGGATTTAAAAACATCCTTTTAATAAGTCCGTGCCAAACATCCACACACTCGCACAAACACTCTCTCTCACACACACTCTTTCTCTCTCTCTCTCTTTCTCTCTCTCACTCACACACACTCACACACACACACACACACACACACACACACACACTAGTGAAAAATAATGCTCCTACAAAAAGAACGCTACCATTTGTTTCCCACAATATCTTTAAATAAAATAACTTCAAGTACTCTGACGCAGGTACAAAAAAACTGTTCTAGCTGCCTCCAGTGGGCCACGACGCACGCGGGAGACTCAGACACATGTGGTTACAGAACGCCTGCTGTCTATCTCTGAGCGGCTCTGGGGCCAGGGATACTGAAGAATACTCCGAAAGTTTTCATATGGGTTCAGATATGAGTTTCGTACAGTATGCCTTTGAGTGGAGGCCGTGATGTGTTTTATATAAGAAAACAATAACATTACAAAACAGGGAAAAAACAAAACAAAACAAAAAAAGAACAAATTATTTTCCCTATACCCTGTTCTGAAGGGCAGGCACTACTAAGATTAAGGAGACCACAGTGTTTTGTAGAGGATATGTATATACTGTACAAACAATAAATGTATATTATTAATCACTTTAAGACTAAAATTAATTGCTACAATCATTCTAAGGCATAAACAATATCCAATGTCTGAAACAATATGTACACATCATTCCAAACAAGACTCAATATATTGACATTAATAGACAGTATGTACACATGGGTGCCTCCTGCTTGTCTGCGTGTGTGTGTGTGTGTATGTATATGTGTGTGTGTGTGTGTGTACAGTGATGCCGTTAGTTCACTTTCAGAGGGTTGAATACTCTGATGCCACATGGCACAGAACAGTGTAAACAGTTTTTTTTTTTTTTTCTTGGCTTTGTTTCATATTTGGAGAGGAAAAACACAAACAAATAAACATTCCATTAGATTTAAAGCAGTTTTGCTGTTTCTTCCTTTTCATAGAAAATGAAGAGTGGACCTCTCTTTTATTAAGTCATAAATAATCATTTAAAAAAATTAAATACATTCACTATAATATTAACGATAACGTAAAAATACAAAACCAAAATAAAAAGATATTTACAAGTAGTGGAAAGGGATTTTTCTCCTTAGTACAGCTCTGATGGTTGAAATTTCAGTGCGATTTCTCTTTTCTAGAAGGAAATGGTATTGCACAAAGACACCCTCTGTCTTGTGTCTCTTTGGGTGTTGATGTGTGATTGGTCGGTCCTGAAGGGCCCTGGGTTGCAGAAAGAGTCTGCTTCTGAGCCCCGGTCGCAGGTTTGAAATGACAGCCCGTGGTCTGAAACCACCTCAGTTAGTCTGCTTCAGCAGCTCAGTCCACCTCTTCTCGAAGAACTTCCTCATGTTGTGCCCGGCCCGGCCGATGTCCGAGTTGTCCTCGTTGAACTTCTCGCAGTTGTCGAACACCAGGTTGACGTCGATGATGAACGTCTCTAAATTCTGATATCTAAAGAATACAGCAAAAATGCAGGTCGTTGTTAAAGGTTCATGAAACACTAAAACATTTTTTTGGAGCGTTTACAGATATGTATGTGTTGCACATTATAGACAGTGCTATTATTTTAATGCTAAGAGGAAAATTTAGGCATTTCATTTTTTATAAATGGATTTTGTTATTATTTTCTTGATATTGATATTATGTTCATTTGTAAAGTGTATAATTTTGTAAAAAAAAAAAAAAATATTTATTTATTTATGAATGTTTGTAAATATTTTTATAGTTCTTATTAATATTTTATTTATTTATTTCGGTGGAAAGGGTTATGAGGGGAGGGGGGGATTTTGTTAATGCTTCGGAAAATATTTTAGATACGAAAATATTTATTATAAAAAAAAAAATTATTATTGAGCTTTTAGGTGACTATTTTCATCCAGATTTTTCATGCCCCCTTCTATGAAAAAATTCTAAAAAAATTCTCACAATTACCTCAACTTTTTTCCCCCCTCAAAATTTCAGACTTTATAACTCGCAATTGCAAGTTTATATCTCACAATTCTGGGGGGAAAATTGTGAGATATAAGCTTGCAATTGCACAATTTTGCATTTATATTACTTAATTCTGACTTTATTTCTCAGAATTGCAACTTTATAATAACATTACATAAGAAAAAAAGTCCAAATTGCAAGATATAAACTTGCAATTGCAAGAAAAAAAGCCTCACTGGCACCATATCCTTCTCCCCTCCACTCTGCAGATTTAATTTTTTTTTTTTTTTACATTTTTCAAAACTGTGAGAGCTCAACTGTGCTGAGGAAGTTGGAGGGAATTCAAGACACTTTAAAGCGGAAGAGAAAGACACTTACTGGCTGCTGACGAGTTTCTCACGGATAGTGGAGAAGTCCATGGGTTTTTTAATGACTTTGCGGTACCCTGGGACAGATTTGAGGTTAACAGGTGTGAGGAAGGGCCAGGCGTCCTGATGACGTTCCAGTTCAGCCAACAGAACCCTGAGAAGTGCAAACGTACATGAGGTCTGCATAAAAAGCAACATTACATCCACAAATACACAGAAAATGAGAGAATGCGAGTGGTACCTGCAGAGGCCCAGGTCCCGGTTGTTGTCTCTGGCTGTTTTGGCTCTTTTTACGCAGGCAGGGCTGTCTGGTTTGGGTGCAGGGGGGGTGGAGGTGTTCTTCTTGGCCTGGGTGGAGGTGGCGGCTGCTTTCTTTGGGGTGCTGTTGTTGCTGCTGGTGGCTTCCTCTTCTTCACACGTTTCCGTCTGCTTCTTGCTTTTCTTGGCGGATTCTGTCTTTTTTCCTCCACTGGCTGGTGGCGCACGATTCGGAGTCTTCTTAGATTTAGGTGACTGACCACTTGCCTGAAATGGTGGACAGGACCAGTTCAGATTTACAAGTTAACATACAGGAATAATTCTCCAAATCAGCCAGTGAACAGTACACATCACTGCTCCAAGTGCTAGACTAAATTATTACAACTCATTAGCACTTGCAGTCACTTCCACTGATGAAATAATGAGAAGACTAAGCAATAACATATGTATTATCATTATTTATACAACTACTATTTATTATTAAATTCTGAATCCTGCATGTGAAAGGCAGGGGTGCAAAAAGGGGAATGCAATTTTTAATCAAATAAATGCAGCCTTGGTAAGAATGAGAGAGAGAAAATTTAAAGGGTTAGTTCACTCAAAAATGAAAATTCTGTCAATAATTACTCTCATGTCGTTCCAAACCCGTAAGACTTCCGTTCATCTTCGGAACACATATGAAGATCTTTTTGATAAAATTTGTCCCTCCATTGACAGCTACACAACTACCACTACCACGCTTCAAAAAGTTCATAAAGAGATCATAAAACTAATCCATTTGAATTAAGCGGTTTAGTGCACATTTTCTGAAGAGACACAATCACTTTTTATGATGAACAGATTGAATTTAGGCTTTTATTCACATAAATATTGATTAACTAACATAAACAGAAGCTCAATCGAACCTGCTTGACGTACAAGAACAAACCTCTTGCAGAAGCTCAAACGTGCTGCGTTACATGAGAATGAACCTCATTGGTTCACAAGCACGCTTCCAGTTTCCATTTATCATTTTTAATGTATGCGGTGATGAATGTTTATATGTGAATAAAAGCCTAAATTCAATGGAGGGACAGAAATCTCCCAGATATCTCTCTCATATAGATGAACGAAAGTATTCCGGTTTTGAAACGCCATGAGGGTGAGTAATTAATGACAGAATTTTCACTTAAAACTAACCCTTAAAAAATATATATATATATATATAAGACTAAATCTAATCCAAGATATGGAAATATAATCTGCGTGTTAAATTTGGTTCATCCTGCTCCATCCAGAAAAAAGTATCTGAATATTTTAGAGATATAGCTCTGAAAACATGCCCCTCAGCAAAGGAGCACTTGCACCTCTGGTGATTTGATCTGGAGGCGGTTACCTTGGAGATACAAGCAGGGCAGTACCAGTCTCCCTCTGGGATGGTGGTTATCTTGGGTTTGTGGCAATAGGTGTGACACCCCTTATCACAGCCATCACACAGCAAAAGCAGGTCTTCATTATCCCCCTTTCGGCACATCTGACAGTACTGAAAACACAAACAGGCATGTAAG